TCTCGAACAAGCAAATCACCAAACGGCATTCTGGGTTGAGCGAGCCGTATTGAGCGAAATATTACCACTCCGCTCACATGCTCTGGTTGTGTGTAGGGCCTAGTAGCTAAAGATAGGTGCTGGTAATCACAAAGCTTGATGAGTTGTCATCTAACCCCAGGTTGCTATGTGTGAAATGTCCCTTTATACTTTTGCTTTGAATTTGTGCTGCCAAGAATTGTTTCATCTACATTATAGCATGGCGTTGACACGGTTGTGAATTAGCTTTAGCCTTTGTAGCTTAGTTAATGTTTTGAGTTGATGTCAGCTATGTAGTGCGAAGATATACCGACTTGTTTTGTCAGCTTGTGAATGCATTGGATGTGATTCTGACTAGTCTGAATCTGTGCTAATTTGTGATGAGGAGAATATGTGTGTGACTTTTTATTGGGTTGAGCATATTATGTTAGCTATGCTAATTTGGCTCATTCCGTCTGCATCAACTTCTGATACGGAAAGACTAACATCTTTACGTTATAGAGCGCAACAGTCCCATTTATTTTCTCCACAGGGGAGTTTATTTTGAGTAATAACTTTTAAACTATGACCTACTGTGGGCTACAAGGTTGTTAATCGATGGTATATCAACATTGTTTAAACTTATTCTTAAATAATCATGTTCAGCAGTGGAATTCCTGGTAAAAACTACATTACCCATGATTCTGCAGAGAAATTTCCACCAATCAGAGAATCATGACAAGCAAATCATGTTAAAAGAGCTCTTAAGTGCCTGCCCATTTTGCAATAAATGTAAAACATAATGCACGATATTGGATTTTTTCCACACTCAAAATCAACATCTTTAAATCAGTAGTTTTAAATTTCTTGTTTTTAATTTCATTATGTCATTATGCCGTATGGAAAAAATGAATGGGGAAAAAAACTTCCGGAAACCAAGGCCGCTAAAAAGTGGAAGCACACTGTTGCACTCTGTTTTTCTAAAATATATTCAAATGTTGTCATGGCGAATTTTCTCCTCAGTCCAATTGTGAACCATGTGGAGGACAGTGAAGCTAAACCACCTTCACCTGACATCATTCTCCGTCGTGACAATGAGTTCATGCGTGCCACTGCTCCACAACAGTGGGATTCGAATGAGGAAGATGATGACGAAGAGGCAGAACGGAAGGTTCCAGATGTCCAAAAGGATGATCTTGCTTCTCGCAGAGCACGAATGAATCAGTTTAAACCCAGCGTGGCACGTCACTTCCTGCCAGGCACTTGTAGCTGGAAGGACCAAGAAAAATGGGAGGGAATCAGACTGGCATCCCAGCATGCCGTGTTGGAGAGGATGGAGAAGATAGAACAGGAGAAAAGAAGGTGTGCTTGTGACAGAGAGTGATGGGGTCTCATGCTCAGGGACTAGTTATATTGGCTTTACAAATCTAACACAATGTTATTGGACAAATCTGGGTCAGGGTTTTTTCAAACTCATTATCTCAGAGACTTGCGGCCATAGTTTGCTAATGAAGCTTTGGGAAAAACACCCCAGAACTGACCAGCAACTGCCCAAAACAACATACTGGCTAGTGGCTAAAAAAGCTTACAGCTCTTCAAAATACCAATGTTTTCAAAGTATACACAGCTGATATTACACAAAATTAAACTTCTCTCTTCAAACTGCCCAACGATTCAAAGAATATAAAGACTGTATAACCTTAAAACAAACCTTCAGTTCAACAAGTTTGTCTTCAATATCTTTACTTTTGGAGTATAGTGTTGTTCTATTTGCCTCTGTAGCTCTAGTATCTTTTCTGATTACAGAGTTTGTCCATACATTACATACCATACATGTGGTATTATGCATTGTGCATAGAAATTAGGTGTATACCCTTATAATTGGTAATGGTCTCTAGGCAGTATTGGTATTGTTGCTGTGTTCTGTGGGATGATGGGTTAATCTTTTCTGTTTCTTATAATGCTACATTTCTACCACAGTCAGGCTGACTCCGCCTCCCCTGAGGTGCCAATCATAATTCGTAAGGACAATCCTTTCTTGAATCCTGAAAAAGACAGGGGAAAAGAGGGGAATGAGGAAGATGAGAGAGAGGAAGAGGGGAAGATAGTTGTTCCAAACCCACTCAAAGATGATCTAGCCAGGAGGCGGACTGGGAGAGGGCTACACCCTCCCAAAGATCCTCATCAGTCATTGGTCCAGACTTCCATCACTCAGTCAGACCTGGAGACATGGCAGAGGCTCAAGATGAATACAGATAGCAGGTGCCTTAAAACAAACACGCTCTCTAACACTTTTGCTCTTTTTTATGCACATTTGACCACAGGGTCCAAAATTAACACAAATAATGTGACTTTGGCGAGTAAATAAAATGAGTTACTGGTAAATTTATTAGGAACCAAAACATTATACATGGTTTAAATTTTACACGAAGACTGTATTCCTGGAAGTGACTGAAAGTATGGAAGAAAAAACTACTAAAAATAAATTTGTAAAAATAAATTTATAAAAAAAATGCAAAAATGTTTTATTCAATACAGTTTCAAGGTTGGAAAAAATATTTATAATATTCTTTAACTATTAATGTTTGAATTTTATTTAAATGTCAATACTTCAAAGGGCTAGTTCACCCAAAAATGAAAATTCTGTCATTAATTACTCACATATCATTAATTAATGTAACGAAGCGTCACTCGAAGTGGGATCCATAAGCAGGCTTTATTACAATCGTGGTCAAACAGGCAATGGTCACATACCAGCAAACACAGTGACGGGGGGTAAACACAATCGTTGTCAGTAAACAGGCTAAAAGTTGGGGCAGGTGGCAATGAATCACAACTCAGCGACAAGGCGGATAATCCAGAAGGCAGGTAGCAGAGTATCATAAACGAGGTACACACAGGGTCACAACAGGCAGGCAAAACAGAGAAAACCGCTCAGAAATGAAAACCGCTGTAAAACCAGACTTCGCAATGAGCTGGAAGGAACAGACTGTTTATATAGGCCAGCTGATGGGCTACAGCTGGGCTAGGTGATCAGTGCCAGATACGGGGCTGATGGGAAATGTAGTGTGAGAGTGTAAGAGTCAATATTCGGGTGAGGGAGCCCTCTGATGGTCGGAAGAGGGAATCACGGAGTTCGCCTCTGTGACAATTAATGACATGTGGGTGAGTAATTAATCACAGATTTTTCATTTTTGGGTGAAGTAACCTTTTAATATTTACATTTAAATATTTGTTATTTGCATGTGTGGCAAAAAGCCATTCCTCCTGCTTAGCTCAGTTTATCCTTTATACTGATCTACAGTGAGTCTGGCTCCACTCCTGCTGAAGTGTCAATCATAACTCGCAAGGACAACCCCTTCCTGACCCCTGAGAAAGACAGTGAGAGTGAGCAGGAGAAGGAGGAGGGAACAGACAGAGAGAAAGGGGCGAGGGTGGTGATGCCTAATGTAAAGACAGATGACCTGGCCAGAAGGCGGGGTCAAAGTGGGCCTGTCCCACAGAGAGACCCCCGGCAGTCATTGGCTCAAACAACCATCACTCAGTCAGACCTGGAGAAATGGCAAAGGCTCAAGATGAATACAGAGAGCAGGTGCCTGACATGTAACCTTTATCTTTGACCCCTGACATAGCATGACTCATCAACAAGCTTCAAGACATTTTAGAAGTTTCACACTGCTGAAACTGAGCTTATTACACGTGAACACACCATTAGTTTCTATTTTATTTCATTGTTTACTTCACAATATGACCCATTTAGACACCATTGTGTTCTTAGAATCAAGCAGAGCAGTAATATTTGGTCCTGTGATGTGAAGTATACTGACACACTATTGCTTGTTGAGGACCGCCTGCTTTCAGAAACCAAGTTATGTTTATCAAATGATCTGAACATACATGCAGAGACTCACCCTCATGTGCGTTGGAGTTTGTGTATAGTGATCTTAGCAGTGATGCTGCATTTACAGGGCATGTTGATTTCATCTCACTGGGGTTTATGAAAGAGAACTCATGCCTTGAGAGAATATTAGCATGATGCAAGCAACTGTAGCAGCACTGAATGAATGATGCTTGAAACTGTTATTATTTTGGCTAGGAGGGCTTATAATTGAGGCTGTTAGCATGATGCTAACAACTATAGCACCCCTAAATGATGCTAAAACGGCGCTTTTTTGGCCTGTTTAGGATTAGCTGTGAATAGCTTAGAGTAAGGCAGTTATCATGATGCTAACAACATAGCACTCATGAATGATACTTGAATCTGCTCTTGTTTGGGCTACTTAGCAGGAAAATTAACTGTGAATGGCTTGCATTGAGGCTGTTAGTATGATGCTAACAACTGTAGCACCCACAAATTGTGTGAAACATGAACTTTTTGGCCTGTTTAGAAGATAAATTAGCTGTGAATGCCACAGTAGTAGTCTGTGAAGAAACAGGAAAAAAGATGAAATATGTGTTTGTGCTTGTGTAAGAGAGTAATAAAGTGTGTTTCTGTAGTTTTGAGTAACTGCAATGCAGTTGCTTTGGTTCCCACTGGACTGCATCTTGCATTGCCTGTATCTGCATTCTCTGTCCTCCCCCCTCATTTTTTTATTTTCTATCTCTGACTCATTGTTTCTCTCTTTCCTTCCACGCCTCACACATTATGAACTAACTTACTCAGTGGAGATGCAAACCCTGAGCCGCTTCCCATCATGCCCCCTGAACCTCCGAACCCTGTTCTGTTTGACCTTAAAATGCCTTTGACCTCCACCGAGCGCAGAGTGCTGGAGGAGGAACTGGCTGAGAAAGCAAAGGATGAGAGGGAGGATGATGAAGAGGATGAAGAAGAAGAGAGGCAACCAGATATAGAAAAGGATGACATGCTAGCTCGTAGAACAGGAGCATTTCAGAAGCCAGCAAGCGGGACTTCATATAACAGATTCCTCCCGCAGTCGGGTTCCAAGAGAGAGGGTGCTACAGCAGCTTCCTTAGCCCAGAAAGGAACGAGTGGAGAAAGAGATCTCCAATACCTTGAAAGAAGCATAAAGACAAAGAGAACCAAGATTGGACATAGGTGGGACAAGCAAGGCTGGCAGTCTCAAACTTCTCTTTGTTGGTAATGCATGAGTCTAACATGCTTTGTGCCATGGTGAAGAAAATACTCTTTCCTTTTGAGCACAATATTTATATTTTAGTAGTGTTGTCTAAGGAAAGCATGACTTTTAGCTTTTCTCATACTTGGTTAGGGATTTACTGCACCATTTGTGCAAAATATATAATGATACCTTGCTGATAAGCATTGTTACTAAGTGGTTGAATGTTTAATATTTGTTTAAAAATTCTGACAATATGATAAGCCTGATTATTTCCAGTAAATGGCTGATATTAAAAAACTACTGTTCTGTCTAAATAAATAAAAAACTAAAATCAGTTATTTTAAATTCTGTAAATTAATTTAGACATAATACCATTTTGATGTATAATATGGAAAATTAATATTTTGAGATTTGCTCAAGATTAAACTTGATGTTAAATTGTTAATGTTTTTAATGAATAACTGTAATTCAGGTAATCAAAATATAAATATAGAAATAATTATTTAAATATCTAAATTATTTATGGGTTGTAGATATAAATAATTAGCCAATTAAATATCCAATATTGACCAATACTGATCAATAATAAAACTCCAATGTTGCCTGATTACTGATATAGCACTGACTGATACTGTAACGTGCATCACTAGTTTTTTGCCTCGCAGACAATAAATTGGGGGGAAAATATAGATTTACACTGAAAGAGACACCTCTATCTAGAAATCAAAATGCTTTGGCCAGGATACAACCTTCCAGAATTCCTTAGAAGCCAATTTGCAATAGCAACCACCCAGAACACCTCAGCAATGAGCTTAAAATCACACAGAACATCTCACAGAAGTTTGTTTTTTGTTCTTAGGGAAATGTAGGTGTGCATTTGTTTTGAACCTGCTTGCATTAAGTTTTGCCTTGGAGAATATTGCATTATATCAAACTGAGTTTCATTTTCCAAGTTAGTTATCAGCATATGCTGTTTTGACAGAAATGAACCAGTCAGCCAAGTAACAAAGACACCTGTTCCAGTTGCTGTAGTCATAGAAAAGAACCCCGACATTGTACGTTCTTCTGCAACTAACGCCAATCGCTCTGGCAGTTACGATGAATGTGGGGATGACGATCAACTGCCAGATTTTGAGAAGGATGACATGATTGCACGAAGGACCGGATCTTACCAAAAGCCAAGTGCAGGACAGGCTTTTAATGCTTTTCTGCCCAAACCTGTTGCTGTCAAACATAAAATCACTCCTGTCAGTGGATCGCGGTCATACCTCAAGCCAAGAGAGCAAGAGACAGCCCCGTCTCTGGACAGGTTAGGACCCTTTAGGACTGAAGTGTTTGCCTGTGAATGCTCTGAATGCTTCTTTTGTGGTGTCCGTGCAAAAGGAGATTGTTTAAATTGCTATTAAATAAATTTTTTTAGATGTGGATTTGAGCTTGTTTAGTTCTTGTGTAGTTGATTTTCCAAGTACAGAGAAGTGATGAATGTCCTGTGCATCAGTGATTTTTGGTGGCTATTGTCTGTTTACTAATATTTGTGACTGGCTTGGAGTTTCTTCACAAAACTGAATTTTCTCTTTGTTTCTAATCTTTGTATATATATATATATACTTCACTCTGTTCTTTGCACTTGTCTTCTCTGTTCTCTCTGGCGATTTGTGTTTTGTAGCCAGAGAACAGAGCCTCGGCCTCCCTTTCACAGCACTGCTTTGCTTTAGTAACCATGGCAAATTTCTCAGCTTCACCCTTAGCTCTGTGGCCCCGCCCCCAAGAAATGCTGAGGACACGCCTAGGAAGTGCCCTCAGATGATGGACAGGCAGGAGGCGGACTCTGTGGGTGTGGTGGGACATGAAAGTCTTATTAAAGATGAGACTGTTACCAAAAGCCCCTCCCCCAGACCCCACCAACCCCCACGTCAGCCCCTTTGGCAGGAAGATGATGATCTCCCCCCAATGTGAGAAAGCACTTTCAGGACCAATTTATTACTTTTGAAAACAGCTCTGATTGAAATGTAGTTTTGTATTTCTGCATGGAAAGATTGTGTCCCATGCCTGTGTCTCTGCGTTTTATCACTGTTTCACTTTACTTTGTTCATTGGTGAAATGGTTATCCTTAAAGGTGCTGTAAGGGATTTTATTAGTGAAAAGCAAGCTTTTTTTTATTTTTAAGAGTTTAGATTTGCTTATACGTGTCATTTGAGGGTGGAATTTTGGAAAGAGCAGGTGGTTTAATGCAGTGACTGACCTGGGGGGAGTTAGTGAAATGGCTAACTTACAGCACCTTTAAAGTCAATATGAAATGCTGTTGAGAACTCATTTTACTAACATGTTTTGTAAAATCAGATTAGGAAAATACATTAAGACCCACACAAACATTTATATACACTGCTCAAAATTTTTTAAGGAACGCTTTGAAAACAAATCAGATCTCAATGGGGAAAAATATCATGCTGGATATCTATACTGATATGGACTGGGTAATGTGTTAGGAACGAAAGGATGCCACATCGTTTGATGGAAATGAAAATTATCAACCTACAGAGGGCTGATTTCAAAGACACCCCGAAAATCAAAGAAAATTATGCAGCAGGCTTGTCCATTTTGTTGAAACTTTATTGTAGCAACTCAAAATGGTACTCAGTAGTTTGTTTGGCCCCCACGTGCTTGTATGCATGCCTGACAACGTCGGGGCATGCTCCTAATGAGACAACGGATGGTGGATCAAGGCATCACTGAGCTCCTGGACAGTCTGATGTGCAACCTGGCGGCGTCGGATGGACCGAAACATAATGTCCCAGATGTGTTCTATTAGATTTAGGTCAGGCGAGCGTGGGGGCCATTCAATGGTATCAATTCGTTCATCCTCCAGGAACTGTCTTCATACTCTCACCACATGAGGCTGGGCATTGTCGTGCACCAGGAGGAACCCAGGACCCACTGCACCAGTGTAGGGTCTGACAATAGGTCCAAGGATTTCATCCCAATACCTAATGGCAGTCAGGGTGCCATTGTCTAGCCTGTAGAAGTCTGTGCGCCCTTCCATGGATATGCCTCCCCAGACCATCACTGACCTACCACCAAACCGGTCATGCTGAACGATGTTACTGGCAGCATAACGTTCTTCATGGCTTCTCCAGACCCTTTCACGTCTGTCACATGTGATCAGGGTGAACCTGCTCTCATCTGTTAAAAGCACAGGGCACCAGTGGCGGACCTGCCAATTCTGGAGTTTAATGACAAATGCTAATCGAGCTACACGGTGCCGGGCAGTGAGCACAGGGCCCACTAGAGGATGTCGGACCCTCAGGCCACCCTCATGAAGTCTGTTTCTGATTGTTTGGTCAGAGACATTCACACTTTTGGCCTGCTGGAGGTCATTTTGTAGGGCTCTGGCAGTGCTCATCCTGTTCCTCCTTGCACATAGGAGCAGATATCAGTCCTGCTGATGAGTTAAGGACCTTCTACTGCCCTGTCCAGCTCTCCAGAGTAACTGCCTGTCTCCTGGAATCTCTTACATGCTCTTGAGACTGTGCTGGGAGACACAGCATACCTTCTGGCAGTGGCACATATTGATGTGCTATCCTGGAGGAGTTGGACTGCCTGTGCAACCTCTGTAGGGTCCAAGCATCGCCTCATGCTACCAGTAGTGACACTGACCCTAGCCAAATGCAAAACTAGTGAAAAAACAGTCAGAAAAGATGAGTAGGGAAAAAAATGTCAGTGGCCTCCACCTGTAAAACCATTCCTGTTTTGGGGGTCGTCTCATTGTTGCACATCTAGTGCACCTGTTGTTAATTTAATTTACACCAAAGCAGCTGAAACTGATTAACAACCCCCTCTGCAACTTAACTGACCTGGGCTGCGTTTCCCAAAAGCATCGTAAGCCTAAGTTGTTCGTAGATCCATTGGCGGCAATGGGTCTACGATGTAGGCTTACGATGCTTTTAGGAAACGCAGCCCAGATCAATATCCCAGGAGTTTAATTGACTTGATGCAATACTCTGATTAAAAAGTGTTCCTTTAATTTTTTTTGAGCAGTGTATATATATATATATATATATATATATATATATATATATATATATATATACACAGTAGTCAACATTTGAAGTCAAAACCTTTCATCAAAGTTCATCAAAACTAGGACAACCGCATGTTAGTGCCAAGTGTAAACACAGCCTATATTCTCTCTCTCTCTCTCTCTCTCTCTCTCTCTCTCTCTCTCTCTATATATATATATATATATATATATGAAGAGTTAATTTGCAAAAACAGATAACTCCGTTTTTAACAATTTTCAGAAATCAAGTTTTTTCATTGTGCATTCCAATTAATCTCAATCAAACTGCAGTTGTTGTTTTTTTATTAGGTTAAAAAATAACTTAAAAATACAGCTAACTAACACAATAAAACATAACATAATAAAAAAGTTTTTTGAAAATTAAAAAAATTTAGTTATCTGTTTTTGCAAATAAACTCTTCATATACTGTACATACGGTATATATAAAATGTGTGTGTAATATAGTGAGGCAATGTTTTATTTTGAGGGGTAGGCCTAATACAATATATCTATATATATATATATATATAGATATATATTTTAAAGGACTGTAATTCGTGTTCTATTATGTTCAACCATTTTGTTCTTTAAAGCTCAGCTTTATTTACATTGTTTTTTATCCATTAATGTTCTAGATTCAGAGCTACTAGTGTTTCTGACACAGAGTAAGTTTCTTTTCCTTTCTCTTTGTATTTCTTACTGTTGCTGAAGAACTGAGCAGTTGCATGTAGCAAGCATTCAGCAGTGTCTCTGTTCACATGCAGATACAACCATTTTCTAAACTGACATACTCTCTTGAACTTTGTGCATGCATATTCAAAAGTCAAGCCTGCCCCTACACATGCATGTAATAACATATGTTTGAATCTTTCTCATGGTTTGCTGTGGTGGATACTTCAGCTCCCTGTATTAAAGGAATATTCAGCAAAAAAATAAAATTCATTAATTTACTCCTCATGTCGTTCTAAATCTATGACTATGTGAGGGAGAAAAACATGAATGTGCTACTCTCTCTTTTCTTTTCCATGCATTTATAATAAATTGGAGTTTACAAGCTTCAAAAAGATGTAAATATGACTTGTGTGCACATATTTTACATTTAATGAAGTCATCTGATTTGTATTAAAAAACAAAAATTTGATATGGTATCATGATAATATGGGTTTTGAACAACATGACGGTTTCTTGAGCAATAAGAAATTATATTGTCAAAAATTTACATTTTACTTGTACTTTTTCTTGTAGTTCTGTTTATATTGTTCATGGTCCCAATAACCATGTGTTGCTCTTGCACTAACATTTCTTCCATTTAACCATGTCATTCCTCTTTAACATCATACTGTCATATATATATATATATATATGTCTAACTTTTTTTATCAAGAATTTCCTATTTTCGTGCCTTCAGGTCTCAGAGGAAGAGATGTGTTGTTATTTTCGATCTGGCTTTGATTGCACCTTTCCTTCTTCAGCTAAAAGCGTTACAGCACTTGTAAACATGTCTGTTTTTGTTTGTTATTCAAAGGAGTATGAGTTTGATTGACATGCGGGATGAAGAGGATGAGATGGCCTACCTTCGGCCACACAGCCAATCACGACATGAGGAGGACCAGTGGCAGGACGTGAGTCACACAAACCCACACAAGCATGTGTTTAATGAGCTTACACGCATAAGTGTGTACATTCTCTGACTTCTGTGTGTAGGACTTGGCTCGCTGGAAGAATCGAAGGCGAAGTGCATCTCAAGATTTGATCAAAAAGGAAGAAGAGCGGAAGATGATGGAGAAGTTAATGACAGCGGATGGAGGATCTGGCCATCGCAGGAAGAGCATCAAGACATACAAAGAAATCATAGAGGAGAAGTGAGACACACTGAAATCTCTATGCCCTCCTGATGTAGCAGATTGTGGGGTTTAGTGAATAGAAGTATTGGCATTGAAATACAGAGTGCAAAATTTACTGCTTTTTAGTGAAACTGCCTTTTAGAATTGGTCTAGGCTTAGGGTCACTAGGCTTGACTAAAATACACCTTCTATGATGAGCATGTTTTTAATTTTTGGATTAAAATTCATTTAGATGATGAATTTTAAAAATGTCAGGGCAATACATTGGGATATCGTAATTACTTTTTTATTTTTACGTAACGGTAATAATAAGAAATGCTTTTTGATGTTTGGTGAAATCTTTCACCAAATCAGCATATTAGAATGATTTCTGAAGGATCATGTAACACTGAAGACCAGATTAATGGTTGCTGAAATTTCAGCTTTGCATAGTAGGAATAAATTACATTTTAAAATATATTCAAATAGAAAACAGTTATTTAGCAAAAATATTTCACAATATTACTGTTTTTGATTATATAATACTTTGATTAATAATACTTAAAGGGGTCATATGACGTTTCTAAAAATAATATTATGTTGTGTAATTAAATGTGTTTATGCGGTTTAAGGTTAAAAAACACATTATTTTCCACATACTGTACATTATTGTTTCTCCTCTATGCCCCGCCTTTCTGAAACGCGTCGATTTTTATAAAGCTCATCAGTCTAAAAAAACGAGGTGTGATCTGATTGGCCAACTATCCAGTGCGTTGTAATTGTCCGAATTCCTCAAGCGTGTGATGGAAATGTTACGCCCCTCACCATACTGTGATGCCGTCTCCCAGCAGGACGAGACAAAACCAATAAAACCCATTATAAACGAGGCATTTGTTGCATCCAGTGGGGACATAAGTACTGATTATAATGACTTACACTGTCTTTTTACGCATTGCGTTGCATCGCACCGCGTAAACAGAAAGCCATGACCAAAACCAACTCACGTTTGAATCATCAGTGGCAAATTCTATAAATATGAAAATGTACTTACAGGCTGTGAGTCAGCATCATAGACTGTATAGGGTCAGCATGTGCGCCGAAGGAGAAACGGGAACTGAATTCACCGGAACACCGGCATTGTAAGCTACTCTCCCAGGAAACAGTCCTCGTCCTCCGTAAAATGCGCTGCACACATCTGAATATTTGGGTTGAACTGTTCTGGAACAGTGTTGTAAATACAACTTAACCACTGATTTCTAGTTGTGTCCTCTTTTGGAAGACCAAACAAAGTAGTTTCGCTTTCACAACGAAACACACAGCGTCTCCACGACATGTCGGTGGCGGCAACAATACTACAGCGAGAATCAAAGTTACGCCTTCTTTCTTTGCGTGAACATTTGGGCGGTGTTATGCAAATCTTCCCACACAGTGACGTAGATATGTGGGGGCGTGTTTAAACGAAGTGTTTTAGGAGGGTGTAGACGAGTCTTAACTTTTATAAAGAATATCTCTTTGGGTTTGAGACTTTAGTCTTTGCAACTTTAGGGATCTTATCTATTCACGAACAGCTTGTAACACTCCAAAGAGAAAGGATTCTTTAATGAGCAACAGAGACTTCTTTTAAAAGTAAGTAGTAATCATCTTGTTTTGTTATTTCTTAGAAAAAAATAATATTTGAAGAAATATATATATTATAAATATTTTATAAATATTATATATTTATATTTTATAAATATATAATATTTTTGTCCACCTAATAAAACTTGTTTAGTGTGACCCACCAACTACAGACTCTTATGACTGTATGTCAAGGTCAGTAATTATGAGATAATTTTTGAAAATGCAGTGTTAGAGCCCCAAAAACTTTTTTATATTTGAACATTTCTCATGAATATACATTAATGAATGAATTATCATTCTAATATGTAATTGACATTCTATTGATCTCACTCTTTCTCTTTCAGAGAGCGTAGGGAACAGGAGCTACATGAACAATACTGTAAGGCCTCCACCCCAGAAGAGAAAGCAGCTGTGCTTCAACGCTATGCTCTCCGTTTCACCATCAGCGATGCCATATTGGAGAAACTCCAGCTCCCCAAACTGCCTTCTGCTGCTCCACCAATGCACACGTCACCTCTTCATCAACCCGAGAAGAAGCTGACATGCACCACCTTAGTAGAAGCAGAGGTCCCAGAGCCTGAACAAACTACCCAAACACACCACAGTGTCTATATAGACCAGAAGACTACACAAAAACAGGCACCGGCACAGGCCAAAACCCCTGAACCATCACCTTCTGAGACCACCAAAGCTCCAGAAGTCCTGTCAGCACTCACACGAGTTCCTCCGGCTCCATCGAAGCCTGTACCCCTGATCACCCCAAAACCCTACAGCCAGCCCAAATTCAGCCAAGGCTTCCGCAAATCAGTCAAGGCAAGAATATCTTTCCCAGGACTGTAATATCTATAACAAATTCATTTAACAATGGCAAAAAATCTCTGCATATAAAAACTGGGTAGGACAGCTAGAGATTTTCAAACTTTTTGGACCTCCAAATGTGATGATCTTACAAAAATATAAAGGCAGTTATAGACCTGTTAATATTGTATGAGAAAACGCATACTATTTTAAGGCAAAATGATTTTTACAAAATTAAATAGTTGGCTTTTAAAATGTAAATATTGAATTACTATACCTGAAGCCAAAGCAGAATTATTAAAATAAAACTAAGCAAAATAATTAAATCAATTAATTAAAAAGTTAAAATAATTTACTTAGAGTTAAGTGAATGTACATCCATTTCATAAAATCTTTTTGATTTGAAATTTTATTTATTTTTTTTCTCAAGTTTTCCACGGTGTCGAGGCCCATGTTTAAAAACCCCTGAGACAATGCCAGAATAGTTCACTAAAAAATGTAAATTCTGTCATTACTCACGTTCAAAATCTGTATGAACACAACAGAAGTTATCTTTCATAATGTCTTTTTCCGTATAATGAAAATGGATGAGACTAATGACAGTTGTCGTTGTCATTGGCTTCCTTTGTATGAAAAAGACCAACCTGGACATCTTGCTAGATAGCTCCTTATGTGTTTCACGCAAGAACGACATAAAGGCAAGTAAATTATCTTTGGGTAATAATAATCAGCTTAAATAAATGTGTGTTGTTTGTTTTTATTACAGAGTGATGGGCTGATACGTGTGAACTGTGACAGCACTCAGCAGGAGAGCAGAGAGAGGGCTGATAGAGATTCTATGTTGTGTCCTCAAATCAACTTCTCTTCCTCACCTCCAAAGCCAGATACTCAAAGTCAACAAAATGAGGAGCTCATTGTTTTAGAAGCCTCAGAACACCAGCAAAACTTACAGACTTCCATTTCTGACAAGAAGAATGAAGTCATAAAGGAGGAAAAAAAGTGTTCTCTTAGTCCTCAGGAAGAGAATAGCAAAGAAGACACCTCAACTACACTGTCGGTGTCAGAACCAGAAGGTTGAGAATTATAATATTAGCCACAGTTTTTTAATATTTTGAATATTTGTGGAATATATACAGTCGAAGTCAAAAGTTTACATACACCTTGCAGAATCTGCAAAATGTTAATTATTTTACCAAAATAAGAGGGATCATACAAAATGCATGTTATTGTTTATTTAGTACTGACCTGAATAAGATTTCACATAAAAGATGATTACATATAGTCCACAAGAGAAAATAATTTTAGAATTTATAAATATGACCCCACTCAAAGGTTTACATACACTTGAATCTTAATACTGTGTTGTTACCTGAATGATCCACAGCTGTGTTTTTTTTTGTTTAGTGATAGTTGTTCATGAGTCCCTTGTTTGTCCTGAACAGTTAAACTGCCTTCTGTTCTTAAGAAAAGTCCTTCAGGTCCCACAATTTTTTTTGGTTTCCCAGCATTTTTGTGTATTTTTAAACAATGACTGTAGGATTTTGATCCATCTTTTCACACTGAGGACAACTGAGGGACTCATATGCAACAACAAAAGGTTCAAACACTCACTGATGCTCCAGAAGGAAAAACGATGCATTAAGAGCAAGAGAACAGAATGAAGATGTGTACATTTTTCTTATTTGGCCTATTATGCCTATTTTTCATTAAGTACTGCCCTTCAGAAGATACTTGCATGTTTCCCTGAAGACAAAATAAGTTACATTTACCCTGATCTTCACATTTAAAAAGCTGTGGATCATTCAGGGAACAAAACAGTAGTAAGAATCAAGTGTATGTAAACTTTTGAATGGGGTCATTTTTATAAATTCAACTATTATTTTCTCTTGTGGACTATATGTAAACACTAAACATCTTATATATGAAATATCTTGCTCAGGTCAGTACTAAATAATAAGATCCCTCTTATTTTGGTAAAATAATTAACATTTTGCAGATTCTGTATATACTCTGTGTGTGTGTGTGTGTGTGTGTGTGTGCGCGTGTATATATATATATCATTTTTAAGGGGTCTTATCACGAGAAATTAACATATATGAAGGTTTACTATAACTTTAAAAAATCTAAACTTCTTCCTCAGTACAAAAATATATTTTTTTGATAATTAAAGGGATAATTCACTCCAAAATGAAAAACCTGTGATCACTTGCTCACCCTCTGTAAACTGTACGCATTTCTTTCTTCTGTGGAACATAAAACAATATATTTAGAGAAATGTCACAGTGGGTTTTTTTTTTGGGTCCATTCCATACAATGGCGGTGTCCGAAAGCTGAAAAATGCTGCCTTTCAGAGGAAGCTTCATGGCCTGTCTCTTGAGATGCCTTCATCCGATCGATTTTTGAAGGCAGCATAGATGTTTCCATCGCTGCCTTTGATATCCCACAATCCTGTGCATCCCATTTCATGATAGTTGAGCTTAAAAAATAAAGATGGCATCTGAAAGTAGCGTTTGATGATTAGTTTGTGTGTAAATGTATGTTTCTGACCAATTTTTTGATGTTACTTGTTGCGAGAAATCAGTATTATAGTAATTAAATATTCGCTTGGTTATCACCAAAGATTGTTCTATTTTGTTGTAAATCATTAAACCGTTATGTTGCCTCAGACGCCTGTCCAAAATCAGTTTTGTGAGGTGCCTTTGAGCACAAACACTTCCTACTAAGTCATTGCCTGATATGGCAGCAAGGCAACAAGTCAGGAGTCTAAGCTTTCGGACACAGCCAATGGAAGTCAATGGACTCCAATGTTGTTTGGTTCCCAAAATTTTTCAAAATCTTCCACAGAACAAAGACATGCATACAGGTTTGGAATGACAACAGGGTGAGTAAATAATGACATAATTTTCCTTTTTAGGTGGACTATCATTTTAAGTAGTGAAAGTAGTTAAATTTGTTTGCATCTAGTCACCTTAATATATTGACCCTTAGCTGCCCACATTTCACATCAGCAACATCCATTACAGCAAGTGTTAAAAAACTTAACCCCTAAGTGCAAATACATACAAATTCTGATTGAGCAAAAATAAAAATTTGAAACAAAGATAAAATAAGATGGGACTTATTTAAAGCAGAGGTAAACTGAATCATTTTTATATTAGCTTATAGTTTCCTATTTCATCAGGAAAGCAGCCAGTGCCTGACACGATGATGAAGCGCAGCTGTGTTGTCACAACAACCATAGTGACAGAACTCACTCAGACACACCCCGTCCCACCAACTGATGCATCCAGCACCGAGCAGGTGGGCTTGATTTCTCTCTTTTCAATTTTTAATAAAACCTTTATTATTGATTTTCAAATACATCCGCTGATTCTTAAAGGTAGACCCTTGGGCTGGCTGAAAGTAAGCGATTAGTTAAGAGTAGTCTTTATTATTTTGTATGACATTATCTTGTTTGCGTCTTTGAGCTTGATACTTTATTCTTATTGGTCGGTGTCTTTGCATTCATGACTACTAAATTGTTTAACTGACCCAAATGTGTAATTTCCTATATAGTTGTATTAGTTTTATGTCCACAGTCTTATAAAGTAATTCAGAATAATCATGAATAAAAAAATAAACCAGTTTGCCATGTAATAAGCAGGATGATCGACTGATCATTTTCTGACTGTATGAATAGCTGACTGTATATTATCCCTTATTTATTTGTACAGCTAATTTTTGGCAGTGTTTTATACCTTAATAGCATACCTTTAAAAATGGAGCTGAATGTGCTACTGTCCCTGTTGAAAAAAAACAAAACAATATATGCTGGATAGGTGTAGCGGGGCTGACGAGACATGTGGATCCATCTGCAAGCTTTTATTAAAGAGACGTGATATAACAGGCAGGGTCGAACAATGGCAAACAGGTATATGGCAGGCAAAAACACAAGAATAGTCCTAGGGCTAGTGTAGGTCACCGATCGGCAGACAGAATCACAGGGGCGAGACAAGAGGGAAAAATCCAGGGAAACAGGCAAAGATCAGAAACCGCAAAAACAGGCAAGGCAAAACAAGGAAAACACGGAGACTCAGAAAGGGGTACAGGCTAAACAATACTCAGCAGAGAAATGTGGTTAGAGAGGGTGTTATATAGTGAGTGAGGGGATAAGAAACAACTGCGTGCAATCCGTGCAGTGTGCAAATCGTGCAATGAATGATGGGATATGTAGTCCGGGGAGCTATGCAACAGTTTGTGTTGTGCGAGAGTCAATGTAAAGGAAAGGGTGACCTCTGGTGGTGAATAAACAGAAGTCCATGGACCGAATTCGTGACAATAGGTATGTTTTGAAGCATGGCTGCTGGTTTGAGCTGGTTCTTAGCTGGTCATGTGCTGGTCCTAAGCAACTAGCTCCTGCTCAGGACCAGCTTAAACCAGCTGCCATGCTTCAAAACATACCTAACCAGCATATGCTGGATTTTTCAGCAGGGGTGTATTCTATTGGAAACCTGATTTTTTTTCAATTTTGACTGTGAAAACAGGAATGATTTTCATTCTTTTCATTCCCCTCAGCTCGATTCAGTCCATAGCTCATGTGATGTGAGTTCAACTGCCGAGTCAAGCAAGACCGAGCAGACTTCATACTCGCTCTCAATGACAGGTAATACAACCCCACTTTAATTTCTCATAATGTGATGACCAAATTAGTCCCTATTCCAACTTTCCTACTTTTAGTTATTCGTTTAACTCCTCTAAATCCTCTTTTGGGTTACCTTTCTTTCTGGTTTATGTTTTTCTTGCTTTTTGTCTCTTTCATTGACTACCCCTCTGTCATTTGGTGTGCGTGTGGGTCTGTTAGAGTCCTCACATACCTCTAATAGCTCTAGGTTACGCTGGGAGTTCTTCGCTCCAACAGGTAAAACCAATAGATGAACTAATCACACAGGGCTTCCTTCCCCACGAACAGCAGATGATCCATCTGCCCATCGCTGATCATCTCTCGTTTGTCAGCCTCCTTTGACCTCTCCTGTGGAGGTGCATTGTATAGTAAATGCTTGTCTGCTGAGGGCATTATGAGACACTACAGATTTTTAAACTGGTTTTTGAATGTAGGGGAGAGTGGAGTAAGCTGTGCCACTTTACCTTAAGTTGTCATAAAGTTAAGGACAAAGGAGACATATGTCAAACATATTATACTGTACATTATTGTTCAAAAGTGTTTTAATTTTTTTTAATCAGCAAGGACACATTAAATTGATCAAAAGGGACAGTAAAGACGTTTACGTTTTTCCTGTTTCATTTTTTCTATTTCGGATAAATTCTGTTTGTTTTAAACTTCCTATTTTTCAAAGAATCCTGGGAACACAAACATGTATCACCATTTAACAAAAATATTAAGTAGCACAGCTGTTTTAAACATTAATAATAAGAATGTTTCTTGAGCACCATATCAACATATTAGAATGATTTCGGAAGAATCGTGTGAGACTGGAGTAATGGCTGCTGAAAATTCAGCTTTGCGATTACAAAAATGAAGTACATTTTTAAAACATTTAAAAATAAAATTGTTATTTGAAATTGTAATAATATTTCACAATATTACTGATTTTGCTGTATTTTTGTTCAAATAAATGCTGCTTTGGTGAGACTTTCAGTAGCAGCAATAACAAAAACAACAAAAAACGTTATTATTATATTATATTATATTTAATGGCCAATCTCAAATAATATACATGGTTATACAATTGCAATTTACCAATATACAGTGTATGATATATAGTTATAGAACCAGATACATTTGCTTTGACATAAAATTAATTTTAATTGCCATGTAGAAAAGGTACTTTGACTTTGATTTACTAGTCTATAGTATATATTTACTAGTATATAGTCACATGACAAAAATCTTGCACAATTTCTTAAGGAGGTTATTCAGTTTACCCACTCTCACGTCTTACCCCACTCTTTCCTCATCTTTCCTTCTAAACATAGAGTTGTGTGTCATTTTGTCCTCATCAGGCATCTGTAGCATGGACATATGTCAGCACTCCATGACTATAGATCTGATTTATTTAGTCGGGTCATTGTACAGTCATGCACAGTAATTGAACATGTAGAAATTAAGATGCTCTGTGTTATTGCTTTTTTTCTGTTGTTTTCATGTCTAGATTTACAACTCCCAGAGAATAGATCCTTCTTTTCTTTGCCTCTGCTTATACCAGGTATTCATATCCATCTCAGCTGATAGAATCACAAGTGGGCAGTTACATAAAGGTGTAAACAGGGTCCAAAATCATTGATTGAATCCCTCAAACCATATTTGGAAGTGATGAAGACTATAAATATAGTAACACAATGAAACCTGTCAAAATCTGATCATAAGTGGATTCAGGAGATGCAAGTGAGTAATAATAATAATATATGTAAACAAGGATCACAAGATGGATGTTAGTACCGGGTGTAAATAGAGACATCATGTCTCAACACTTCTTTTTTTCTGTGTCATTTTAATGTTTTATGCTCTGTGTATCTGTGTACCAGTTTGAGCTCCTATGGTGCTATAACTTTCATTAGCACATGAAGAGATTAATGAGTATATGATGAGTTTCTAAAGTCACTGTTCCCCTCTTCTTTCCTCCACAGAGGGGATTGACTACTCCATTGATTGTGTAAGTACTTAAGTATGCCAAAATCACACTCACTCTTCCTGAATCTCTCTTTATTTCTTTTCACTCTTTTTTCCTTTGTTAGTCCTTCATTGTAACTAGGGATGTGCATTTTGGTCATTTTGGCTGTTAGAGTACTGGCTTGATGGGAACAGATTGTATTTGGCATGTTTGCTGTTTCAGTGTATCGCACCAATAGCTTTATGCTTTCAAGACAGAGTGTCAAGTTACAACACAAATAGTTAAAAAGTGTTGATGGATCTAAAAAAACAGCATTCTGTTGCATTTAGTTGTATCTATTGTTATACTATTTATTAATATTTTATATGATATTTTATATTTTAAGCTTTAGTAATTTTATATAGTTTTGTCTTTTTTATTTATATATATAGCTTTGATTTTTTAAAAATATTTTATTAATATATTTTTTAACTGTTTAAACTGAAAATTTGGTTTCAGTCACGTTTGTGAACTTTGGATTTCATGTGTGTTTTTGCTGTTAGAACTGCAAAATCTGAAGAGATATGAGTTGTTTCAGCAACAAGAAAATATTTTTGGATTTTGTTGTTTTTACTGGTCTGAACAAAGGTTTAAAGTAACCAATTGAAACAAGTTGCCCACAAAAGCCCACAACTACAAAGTAGCACTCAAATTGTTACTGTAACAAATCACTTAATAAAAAATTAGGCCCAATTTTGGCACGTTGAACAAAAACATCAAGTTACACAACTGATTTTTAATAATTGATCATTACTTTCGAGTACTCATGCTCATACCTAGTTAAAACAGCATAGATGCACCCTGTCTTCTTACCTACTTTCCTTTTTTCCTTTCTGCTTCTGTGTTTGTGTGTGTGTGTGTGTGTGTGTGTGTGTGTGTGTGTGAATCAGATTGAAACCCCAATGTTGAACCTTGCAAAAAGGGTTGATCACTGGACATGGGATCCTAATGAAGAGCGTAGACGAGCAACATAATACTTTCAAATAATAATAATAATGAATAGATAATAATAATGACAACAATGTGCTACTCAGCTTTACTCCATGCAGCTAATTATTTTAAAATAATTATAATAATCATAATAATAATATTATTATTATATTATATTATATTTAATGGCCAATCTCAAATAATATACATGGTTATACAATTGCAATTTACCAATATACAGTGTATGATATATAGTTATAGAACCAGATACATTTGCTTTGACATAAAATTAATTTTAATTGCCATGTAGAAAAGGTACTTTGACTTTGATTTACTAGTCTATAGTATATATTTACTAGTATATAGTCACATGACAAAAATCTTGCACAATTTCTTAAGGAGGTTATTCAGTTTACCCACTCTCACGTCTTACCCCACTCTTTCCTCATCTTTCCTTCTAAACATAGAGTTGTGTGTCATTTTGTCCTCATCAGGCATCTGTAGCATGGACATATGTCAGCACTCCATGACTATAGATCTGATTTATTTAGTCGGGTCATTGTACAGTCATGCACAGTAATTGAACATGTAGAAATTAAGATGCTCTGTGTTATTGCTTTTTTTCTGTTGTTTTCATGTCTAGATTTACAACTCCCAGAGAATAGATCCTTCTTTTCTTTGCCTCTGCTTATACCAGGTATTCATATCCATCTCAGCTGATAGAATCACAAGTGGGCAGTTACATAAAGGTGTAAACAGGGTCCAAAATCATTGATTGAATCCCTCAAACCATATTTGGAAGTGATGAAGACTATAAATATAGTAACACAATGAAACCTGTCAAAATCTGATCATAAGTGGATTCAGGAGATGCAAGTGAGTAATAATAATAATATATGTAAACAAGGATCACAAGATGGATGTTAGTACCGGGTGTAAATAGAGACATCATGTCTCAACACTTCTTTTTTTCTGTGTCATTTTAATGTTTTATGCTCTGTGTATCTGTGTACCAGTTTGAGCTCCTATGGTGCTATAACTTTCATTAGCACATGAAGAGATTAATGAGTATATGATGAGTTTCTAAAGTCACTGTTCCCCTCTTCTTTCCTCCACAGAGGGGATTGACTACTCCATTGATTGTGTAAGTACTTAAGTATGCCAAAATCACACTCACTCTTCCTGAATCTCTCTTTATTTCTTTTCACTCTTTTTTCCTTTGTTAGTCCTTCATTGTAACTAGGGATGTGCATTTTGGTCATTTTGGCTGTTAGAGTACTGGCTTGATGGGAACAGATTGTATTTGGCATGTTTGCTGTTTCAGTGTATCGCACCAATAGCTTTATGCTTTCAAGACAGAGTGTCAAGTTACAACACAAATAGTTAAAAAGTGTTGATGGATCTAAAAAAACAGCATTCTGTTGCATTTAGTTGTATCTATTGTTATACTATTTATTAATATTTTATATGATATTTTATATTTTAAGCTTTAGTAATTTTATATAGTTTTGTCTTTTTTATTTATATATATAGCTTTGATTTTTTAAAAATATTTTATTAATATATTTTTTAACTGTTTAAACTGAAAATTTGGTTTCAGTCACGTTTGTGAACTTTGGATTTCATGTGTGTTTTTGCTGTTAGAACTGCAAAATCTGAAGAGATATGAGTTGTTTCAGCAACAAGAAAATATTTTTGGATTTTGTTGTTTTTACTGGTCTGAACAAAGGTTTAAAGTAACCAATTGAAACAAGTTGCCCACAAAAGCCCACAACTACAAAGTAGCACTCAAATTGTTACTGTAACAAATCACTTAATAAAAAATTAGGCCCAATTTTGGCACGTTGAACAAAAACATCAAGTTACACAACTGATTTTTAATAATTGATCATTACTTTCGAGTACTCATGCTCATACCTAGTTAAAACAGCATAGATGCACCCTGTCTTCTTACCTACTTTCCTTTTTTCCTTTCTGCTTCTGTGTTTGTGTGTGTGTGTGTGTGTGTGTGTGTGTGTGTGTGTGAATCAGATTGAAACCCCAATGTTGAACCTTGCAAAAAGGGTTGATCACTGGACATGGGATCCTAATGAAGAGCGTAGACGACAGGAGAGGTGGCAGCAGGAGCAGGAACGCCTGCTGCAGGTACAGTAGCCAGCTTGGGGTTTGTCTGAGAGAAGTGAGCATCTGCTGTTCTGTAGAGACAACTTTCTCTGTTGTTGTGTTCTGGTTAGCATTTTACCATCTCTTCCTGTCTTCCCTTCACATTCTCTCAAATCTATCACACTTTTTGTTGACTTTGGTATACCTGTGAAATACAAAAGGAGAAATTTTGAAGAATGTGTTGATCAGTCTTGTCCATGCAGTAACAATAAAAGAGGACTGAAGCTTTCAATTTTCATAAAGGTCACAAAAGCACTTGTGTATTTATGGTTTCATACCAGGGGCGTAGCCATCATTTCAGAAGTGAGGGGGACAGAAATGTATAATGTACTAATACCTTTTTTTTTTAAATTACAAGTAATTGACAAGTTTTATTTTTCTCTTATTTCTTATTTTTAGTTGGCTAAGAAATCAAATACACTGCTGGACAATAACAAATCATTTGTATTCTATAAAATGTTCCTATATTTTCCTAATGACAATTTTGTGATTTATTTATTTTTTCAATTTGTATCACAGAAGGTGGCAGAATAGTTTCTATACTAATAATAAACGCTACTTCAATTAGCACTGCATTATTCATAACTTTATTTATTACTTGGAGAGGACTTGAAAAACACACATAAACCATATTGTCACTGGAGCAAAGGGAATAGGAGGAACGAGGAGACTTCACAAAAACGAGAGTCTTTAATGATTCCAATGGGAGACAGAGCACAAGGATGACGTTCACAACAAGTAGATAACGAGTAGACCTGGCAAACACAAACTGAACAGACTAGGACTTTTAAACACAGGGCAATCAGGGGAACACAGGTGACATCAATGGAACAATCAAATTAAACGAGGACAGGAACTTGGCCAAATAAGGCAAAACAGGAACTGAAACACATGACATTTCGGGAGGGGGTAATGGGTGGGAACTAAGGAGGAGGCTCAGGAGGAGGACGGACACCCGGGAGGGGGCCGGCAGACAGAGTCCAGGGAGGAGATGATGGAGGGAGGCGACAGGAGGGGCTTGGAGCAGGAGGAGCCAAACAGGACCCAGGCCACAGCCATGATGGTGACCCACGGTGGAGCCGACGGAGGGAGAAGCCATGGAGGAGGAATGGCCGCCGACTCCAGGGGGCCGACCAACCGCGTCGGAGCAGGTGGTGGAGGAGCCCGAGATGGGGATGCTGAGGATCTGGGGGGCCAGGGTAGAGCTGAGGGCTCTGGCAACTGAGGTGGAGACGGAGATCCGCGGCGGAGTCGGAGCGACTGAGGACCAAGGTGGAGCTGGCAGGAGGAAGGAGCCCAATGTAGCCGGTGGGACGGAGCAACAAGGTGCAGCCGGAGGAGCGGAGTCCTGAGGCAATGGCGGGTCGACGCCCGACCAAGGCAGAGCCGGAGGGACGAGGGAGCCTGGTGGAGCTGGTGGATCGACGGGTGACAGTGGAGGTGAGGGAGCTAGGAGCCGAGGTGGAGCCGCTGGGTCTATGGGCCGAGGCGGAGTCCGGGCCTCGGAGGCTGGAGGCGGAGGTGAGGGATTCTCCAGCTAAGGCAACGCTGGATGATGGCAGGCCCGCGGCGCTTGCACCGTATTGATGGTGGGCTGAGGGCGAGCAGAGGGACTGCCAGACGACAGCAGTGGAGGAGGCAGGAGCAGGCGGGTGGGCGGGCATTCATGAGCCTCCCGGCTCTCAGGGCTGCCCTCGGGGATCAGAGCCCACTCCTAGCTGAGCTGAGAAACGGGAGCCCCCTCAGGGCTGGACGGGACCAGCGGGGACGAAGGAGAGAGGAGAGGGGGCACATCGGCTTCCAGCTCAGTTTCCCAGTCAGTAAGGTCCCCTTCTAAGTCCAGCAGCCCCAGATGTATTATCAGCTCACCCTCAGCCGCGGTGCAGTGGGCGGAGCTCCACTCCATGCTCTCACCGTCCACAGCTTTCTCCCTCACGATGAAACCTGTTTTGGTCAGGTCTTCTGTCACACTTCGCTGGAGCAAGGGAACGGGAGGAACGAGGAGATTTCATAAAAACGATAGTCTTTAATGATTCCAATGGGAGACACAGAGCACAAGGATGACGTTCACAACAAGTAGATAACGAGTAGACCTGACAAACACAAACTGAACAGAAACACAAAACAGGAGCTGAAACACACGACCCATATATTGTCGCAGCCGTGTGTTTAATGTCTTTACGTTTCATCAGTCAAACGTTTCTGCTTTTTATTCAGCTTATACAGCGATATCTAGATGCTTTTGGGGTCAAGATTTTTAAAAGAAAATATTTCTTGTTCAACATGGATGGATTAAATTGTTCAAAAGTGAAAGCAAAGACTTTTATGTTATTCAAAAAAAATCTATTTCAAATAAATGCTGTTCTGTAGTTTCAAATTGAAGTTTTCAACGTTTATTTTAGATATTAGAATGATTTCTGAAGGATCTTGCGACACTGAAAACTGGAGTAATAGCTGCTGTTTCAAATTCATCCTTGATATTAAATGAATTTTAAATATATTTAAAAAAAAGATTTTTAATTGTAGTAATATTTAACAATATTTCTATTTTCAATTTTTTTCAAAAATCCTTCAAAACTAACTTTTTTCTATCCTTTTTTTTTTAAGTATGCATTTAAAAATGTCAAGTAGAAGTACAATAATAATAATAATAATACAAATATGCAACAAATAATACAAAAAGTACAAATTATTATCAAAAATGTTTCAATTTCATAAATATCAAAGTTTTCTTAGAGTTCCTCCATTTGACCTGAATAAAGTGTTTCATAAAAATAATATGATTCCCATTCGTTGTTATTGCATGAAAAAGGGGCAAACAGTAACTTTTTCTGAATTTCTCCTTTTGTGTTCCACAGATGAAAGCAAAGTTATGCAGCTTGAAACAACATAAGGTTGAATAAATTATGACTGAAGTGAACTATACCTTTAATCCCTCTTTTTCTTTTTCTGCAGGAGAAATATCAGCGAGAGCAAGGGAAGCTGAAGGAGGAGTGGGAGAGAGCACAGAGAGAAGTGGAAGAGGATGAGAGGAGACACCATGAAGAGGTACATATTTTAACTGTTTCACATGAGATCTAATTGGTTCTTAATGACCACTAATTAGCTCTTAATCAATAGGAAAGGCGGATACTGGAGGAAACCGTGACCCCACTGACCCCTCGCACCTCAGGTTTATCATCCTGTATGGTGACAGAGGCTCCGTCCCTCACCCAGCCCTCAGCCCCACATGACACCATTGTCCTCTCCTTGGCTGACTGGGAAAAGAAACAGGAAATGTTGGAGAAACAGGCACAGACAAACCAGAGTAGTAGACTTACACACAGGTGGAGTACATACAAAATCCATTTGAAAAAAAAAATTTTTTCCACGAGAATAATGGTAACTTGCTATAGTAACAAACCCTACAAAGCAAATGTATTACAATTTTAATGTCAAATGCAATTTATTTCAGCTGATTTTGATGTACTCTGGCAACCTGTCATTGGAAAATGTGTAATGGTCAAGTACAGATGCAAGTGTTGATATCATAACTCTGCACACAGGATATGTCTGAAAGGATGTTTCAATGTTAATATAACCTTTCTAGCCCTGATCAAGTAATCACACCAGCTCAGCAGAATGGTCAGAGAACTGAACCTCAGGAGAGCCAAACAGCTACACCACAACTGCAGTTTATACAGGGTAAGACACAAACACTAACCCTGGGTCAAAATGGATGTCCTAAATGACAAAATGCAATTGATAAAATAAATATTTTTAGTAAACATGTAAAAAAATATATTTTTTTCTTGGTTTCATACATTTTTGATTATCTACAAAGAAAAAATTATAATAATAGACTGTAAAATGTCAAGTGAAGCAACCATCATGTAAAAAGTAACTTCAATTAAATTCAAAAATTTTCAACATCAATTATTATTATTATTATATTCATTAAATATAATGACCTTGATTTGGAGGACAAGAGGTTTTTAGAAATAACCAATCTTCTTATAACAACATTTTAGATATTTTTAAATCTAATATTAAATAAGTCATTAATATATTTATATTTAGTTATATTATATTATATTATGTTATTCTAAATAATAGCAATAGTATTATTATTATTATTACTATAATACAACACTCTATATAATAGAGTGTGTGTGTGTGTGTGTATATATATATATATATATATATAATGTTCTTTTAATTGATATCAAATAATTTTATTAGGATTACATCATTTGACCTGAACGAAGCTTTCATAAAAAAAGAAAATATCTGACATTGTTTTCTTAATACACACAAAAAAGGATCCTTTTTTGAATTTCTCTCTTGTAGTTTATGCCATGCTGACTTCTACCAACATTTCTGAAAACTTTAAATTATAAAAAAAAATTTTTTTTATATATAATACAACTTAAAAATAGCCTTGTTAAAACTTAAAAAATAAATACAAGAACATATTTTTTTAATGCTTAACTCGTCTGCCACAATAATGTTTACGTATATACAAAACGGTTACACTTTATTTTAAGGTGTCCTTGTTACAGTGTAGTTATACATTTAAGTACTGAGTAATATTAATTAACTACATGTACTTACTATATGGTTAGGTTTAGGATCAGGGTTTGGCTTAGGGTTACTTGCACGTAATTATGCATAATTTTTTGTTATTATAATAGTAAATACATGTAACGTGTAACAAGGACAACTTAAAGTGTTACCTGCACACTGGATACTCAATTAAAACAGCAAATTAGGAGACACGCATGCTTTTTCTCTTTGTGTTATTACAGATGGCTCTTGGAGCTGTAAGTCTAAAGACAGACAAGAAGATTTGAAGAAAACTGCCTCACTGGATCGTAAACCGAGTCCACCTCAGAGCCAGACCACAAAGATGAGGAGGTGTGTGTGTTTGTGGGAATGCATGCTGGCTTGCATACACACATGTGTGCCAAAATGCTGCTTGGCTTTGCTATGAGTGGAGGATGTTTTAAAGATCAGGGGCCTCATTTATAAAACTTTATGTAGAATTCATCCTAAAAGTGTGCATACGCACGAAAGCTAGATTCTGCGTACGCACAAAAGTTTTCCGATTTATAAAACCATTCTTACACCAGAACCTGCGCAAAAATCCTTTTATAAATCCCAGTCAGAGAAAGATTGTGCGTATGTGCATTTCCACCCCTTCTCCTCCCCGAAATCACCATATATGGAGCTTACCATGCCTAGTTTTCCTATGCATAACCTCATCTGCATATCATTTCCATGCATATTCCCATCCACGTGACACCATGTTTAACTCCATCAGAGGTACAAGACATTAAGGAGATACGGACTATAAATGCCATTTCTGCCATACAATTTACATTGCTAAAAATCATCCAGTTACCTTGTTATATTTTAGAATAAATATATAAAAAAATCCATAAAAACAAAATTGTATAAAATACTTCTCAGAGAAACATTTTAGAAAAGAGTTGATTCATTCTTTTACACTGACCGAATAGTAGGCTATTTTAATTGTTTTCAATAAATCAAATTTATGCCATTTTGCTGATAATGTACACATACGTTTTAGAGTATTTATATAGGCTAGTTTGGCCAACTTATATTTTGCAGTAGAAAATGCAGTTGTCTGACTCGGTGCGTCACTGACAACATTTTTATAAAATGAAACGTGCAAATCTTACCGTTTCCTTTCAATTCTATCCTTCAAATATGACTATCACAGAAGGAGTCTGCCTGCACACATCAACATCTCTGTGCAGCAGTAGTTGTACAGTATTATCATTGGACCTATTCAAACCGGCCGATGGACCGTTCATCCACCGAATCCAGCAGTGTCTCCCATAATATTCAAAGTGCGCATCATTTCCTTGTTCTCACTAAAAATATTTTCTCATAACGTGAGATCTGCAGTTTAGTTTAAGGAGGAATTATTGTGCGCCTAGCACTCCTCCCTGTCATTAAAACATAGCATGCCACAGGAAAAGTCATCAAAAATATAGCGCATCCACTACAAATATGTCTATTCATATAATCTTTAACTTCTGCATAATGACTTTATGTTATCTCAGTGCTCATCTCCATTAATGAGTGTCATTTTTAATCTATATAATCTTTTAACTTCTGCATAATGACTTTATGTTATCTCAGTGCTCATCTCCATTAATGAGTGTCATTTTTAATCTATATAATCTTTTAACTTCTGCATAATGACTTTATGTAATCTCAGTGCTCATCTCCATTAATGAGTGTCATTTTTAAACTAATTGTTTATATCAAAATGAAAACAGAGTTTAAAGTACTTCATTGTTTTGCTCACTGTAGTAAAAGTGTGCGTACGCATGGGTCAGAGTTTGCGTGCAGGTGCGCAAATTTTCCCTTCAAGTTTGTTTTTTATAAATCCCATCTTTTGCGTAGGAAGTGGCGTACGCCTCTTTCAGGGCATGTTTCAGGTTATAAATGAGGCCCCTGGTCATATTACGTTTTTTTCTCGGGCCATGGAACATTTCTGCATATGACTTGCTTTCACAGTTGTGTGTCTCTATGCTTGTGTTGTATGTGTGTGCGGCTGCTGGCAGGACTGGGTCGTGTGAAAATGTTTTAGGGACACACCCATCAAAATCACCCACACCATCACAAGACACGCCACCTCCATCACCCAGCAGGTATGAGCCTTCCCTCCAACACATACTCAATCACATGGAGATACATGTGTGTGTGTGTGTGTATGTGTGTGTGTGTGTGGAGCATTTTAGTAATAGGCTTCATAAGCATTTGTATGCTTCACCCAGACACAGTGATTGCATCATGCTGTTGAACTGGCCTGTAAGATTTCTTGCATTTAATTGAAATGCAAAAGTATTGGTTTAAAGGAACAGTTCGCCCAAAAATGAACATTTGCTGAAAATGTACTCATCCTCAGGCCATCCAAGATGTAGATGAGTTTGTTTCTTCATTGGAACAGATTTAGAGAGATGTAGCATTGGATCACTTGCTCACCAATGAATCCTCTACAGTGAATGGGTGCCGTCAGAATGAGTCGAACAGCTGATAAAAACATCTTAGTAATGTACAAGTAAACCACACTTCAGTCCTTCAATTAGCACCTTGTGAAGTGAAAAGCTGTGTGTTTGTAATAAATTCATCATTAAGGCATTTTAACTTTAAACCATTGCTTCTGACCAAAATACGTCCATAATCCATAAAACTGTCCATAAAATGCAAAACTGTTGATTTAGGTTCAGCACATGATGATCCAAGTTGTGCCACCATGATAATAAGGCATAATCATTGCTTTCATTTCAGTAGTTACATAATCATACTAAAATGCTTTGCGCACAATCCTATTTATTTAAATTGCATGCCTGTATTGCATTTGTTACCTCTTTAAAGTCTTTTTTTTATTATTGCTTTTCATCCAAGACCTGACAAGAAAAGAATGTTTTACATTAAAGGGTCAGTTCACCCAAAAATGAAAATTAGTCCATAAATTACTCACCCTCAAGTCATCCTAGGTGTATATGACTTTCTTCTTTCAGACGAATCCAGTCGGAGTTATATAAAAAATTGTCTTTAATCTTTCAAGCTGTTTAATGCCACGCAGCGGGTGTTGCATGCATCCGTCCAAAAGCAGTTAAATAAAATGCGCCCATCCATAAAAAAAAGTGTCACACGGCTCCAGGGGGTGAACAAAGAAAGGCCTTCTGTAGCAAATCGATGTGTTTTTGTAAGGAAAATATCTATATTCAAAAAGTAATAATCTTTTTTTATTCGCTTTTGTGCGGTGCGGCTTTTGCAGAGCTGCTTCCGTGTACAACTGTTGGCGCAAGCTACATTAAAGTGATTATTAAGTTTTGAATATGGATATTTTTCTTACAAAACCGCATCGATTCGCTACAGAAGGCCTTTGTTCACCCCCCAAAGCCGTGTGAGACACTTTGTTTTTATTGGATTTGCACATTTTATTTAACTGCTTTTGGACTGATGCATGCAACACCCGCTGAGTGGCATTAAACAGCTTGAAAGATCAAAGACAATTTTTAATATAACTCCGACTGGATTCGTCTGAAAGAAGAAAGTCATATACACCTAGGATGACTTGAGGGTGAGTAATTTATGGGCCAATTTTCATTTTTGGGTGAACAAACCCTTTAATATATGGCTTTGTATGGCACCCTCTGCAGGTCAGTAAGTGGAAAGAAGCTTTGCTCCAGTTGTGCACATCCGTTGGGTAAAGGAGCAGCTATGATCATTGAAAGCTTGGGGTTGTACTTCCATATTCAGTGTTTTAAGGTAAAACTCAGATACTTTTGTCTCTGTGTGTGCATAAGAAACTTGTTCATCCTCTTAAAATATTATCTGATGTGTTCTAGTGTGGAATATGTAAAGGGTTACTTGGAGACACAAGTGCTGGAACTGACGTCAGAATTCGAAATGGACTTCTTAATTGTCAAGAATGCTACATAAAATCAAGAGGTGAGGCTTAATGTGTTTTAATTGTATCTTAAACATGATCCTAAATGTGCAGGTTACTGTAATTCCCTTTTTTCTGTATTCTGTATCATAAACAGGAAAATCTTAATGACATTAGCTTTAAATTATTTTAGTAATTTCTTCAACTATGAGGCCTGTTGACATTTAGAAAATTAACTCTTAAACACACTTTTCACAATCTCACTAGTTCATTTGTTGATATACGTAAATCAAATGAGAGATTTCTGTCAAGTCTTCACCACATTTCAAATTTTGTACTGTGATTAATAACATTCTGTGGTGGAAATAACATTGTTTTACAGAATAACACCTTTGCCTTGCATAGTCTGATTTTATTGCTAGCATTTTATTTATCCTAAATACACACAATAACATCTGTTATTATAAATGTATTTTTTGTAATGTAATTACAATTTAATAAGTAATATTTGCATTAATTTTTCTTTTTCTTCACACATCACATATGACATATTTCATATCAATCAGTAATAATTTTAAGTAATAATTTACCATAAAATGTATTTTAAAGTAAACATTTATCTTGTTTTTTTTATTATTTTTATGATTGATTGTTTTTTCATATTTTAAGATTGAAAATCTGGGTCTAGTACAAGGGTAAAACAATCCTAAACATATTTTCAGGACATTTTTAATGTGCTCCTTCTTTGCAGCTGCTGGCCAGCCAACAACATTGTGATGCCTCTGCACTTCTGACAAAGAAATGGAAGTGAAATCAGGTTAAACCGACCCAGGACCATACCCAAGAAGAACGGATTTTACGTTTATACAACGTTTTCCTTACAGCACAATCAAGCATAGCCATTAAAGTCAAAACTGGAATCATGGACACATGATGGGTTTTCCTCTGGACTTTCTTTGACTGTCATTGTGCTCGCTAAAAAACGACTTTATCGCTTACATGATAAAAAGTCCATAAGATATTACTGCGAATACAGAGACTACAGCGAGTCTGTTCATACTGTTAGTTTAACACTTTAGAATGAGAAGTAACGGTAGCACTTTACCTCACAGTGGCCATGTTACACACATCTCAATAGCAATAAGGCCAGAAACATACTTTACACAAATGCAGATTAATGTGTCAATATCAAACCTCAGTTCTAAAGGCTGAGATTGAGATCAGTCAAATGTCTGTACCATTAACCCCAATAATATCTAGGTAGCTGTTAACACTCTCACAACACTTGTCAGTGGGGCAGTACCTTTTCAAAATGTACTAATGCATACCTAATATGTACCTTAAAGGTGCTAATTATTTTTTGAGAGTGTATAAAACGATATAAAAATTTAAAATCAAGATTCTCTTAAAACGGTTGCCTCATGACAGTAGTTTGCCTAAGAGAGAAAACTGATTTGTAGAAGCCAAAGGGTCAAGGCTAACTACAACATTCTGAGAGCAAAAAGCATATTTTGCCATCGACGGCCATTCAAAAATAGCATTGTATTCTGACTAAATAAGCAACTCAAGGCTGTAAACATGTCTTAAACATTGGGGGGACCATTTTTTGAAGGGGGTTTGTAATGGTCTTTTTATCTAAAGGAATTAAATAATTAAAGAATTCTTTAAAAACATGAAAGGAATAAGAATATTTTTTGTAAAAAAAGAAGAAATAAGAATAGCGTAATAAGAAAAATACTTTTTTTGTAAAGTTATCTATTTGAACTGTTTGCTGCAGAGCCCTACGGTTTGCACAATTTACTAATTCGTTCCCTCGATGTACTAAAACGTGCACACGATTACTATTTCGTTCCCTCGAATTGCTAAATAGTGTGCACAATTTACTAATTAGTTCTCTCGATTTATAAATAGTGTGCACAATTTACTAATTAGTTCTCTCGATTTATAAATAGTGTGCACAATTTACTAATTAGTTCTCTCGATTTATAAATCGTGTGCACAATTTACTAATTAGTTCTCTCGATTTATAAATAGTGTGCACAATTTACTAATTAGTTCTCTCGATTTATAAATCGTGTGCACAATTTATAAATCGAGGGAACGAAATAGTAAATTGTGCGTACTATTTTTTTTCGGGTCTCCGTAATTAGCAAATATTTTTATTTTAAAATTTGCCACCATTCACTCTTATTCATATGCCTATGAAAAATGGCAACATAATTTGAAATGGCAAAAAAAAACAAAAAAGTGGATATTACTGTTGGTTGTTAACATTTTTATGTTATAAAAAAAAGTTTCAAATATTAAATGTTTAGCTACTTACCTTGCACTCTTTCACTGTTCGTTATCTGTGAACAGTAAAGCCAGCGTGAATATGACTTTTGAAATTTTTTCAACATCAAGAATATCACATATTGACTATTTATAAATGGCAGATATGACATTTTCACATTTTTGCCAGTGACATTTTGGATGCCTCTTATAAGTGAAATTGACGTCATAGTTTAGTATACTCACTACTGAGGGTGCATAGCTAGAATCATCTACATTCATATACTTGTTTAGAGTATGTTTTGGGCCTAACACCAATGACATGGAATTATAAACGTCCACATATTGACTACAGTTGTTCATGAGTATTACTCAAGTACTTGCGTAAATCCATTGTAACATGGGCACTGTAATGTAGAGTGAGACTGAATCCATTTCCATTTTGAGGAACATGAGGTAGCACAAAAGTCCGGTTTTCATTTAAGAAAATTTTGCATTAATAATAATCTCAGTTTTTGTAAAGGTCTTGCAGGTGTCACATTATTTTTTTTTTATGTTCCACTAACAGACGAACGCATAATGTGCGACTCTTAGGCCTAGCTGATTTGTCCTGATGCCTTAACTGACAACATGAAATAAATACAGATAAGATTGTCCATCACTTTCTTCATTTATGTTTTGAAAACACGTCTTCATGAACTGGAGTGGTTTTGATTGAAATGTTCTGTTCCTTCCTCCATTTCTCATTGCCTGTTTTATCTTGTTTGATCAGTGAGGGGTTTGATACTTTATTTGTGCAGTATTGTTTAACAGCATGTTGCTAATGGGTAGATCTTACATTTCCATTCGATTATTTTTCCAAATTTGTTATTAATATTTACGTTTTGCTCTGCAGTTGAATAGTAAGAAGATTGCATGATCCCCGAAACTTTCCTTGATTATGCTTTACATTACAATGTCCATGTTACACATACATTACACACTACTAAAATGAATGACTAAAGTAATAACATTAACTGTGCAAAGCAGCTCCACATAATCAGAAGTATATTATGTAATAACTTATAAACACTGTAATGTAAAGTGTAACCCTTTTTATTTTCAGTTTTATGTGTTCTGTTGCCTTTCTCTCTTCTGTAATGTTGTGCCTTAGAAATGCGCTCCTATAACGTCTAGTGTCGGCCACCCTTGCATCCAAAGCTTCAAGTTACCGATGTGTATTGATGAGAGTATTATGCATATGCACTAAGCACTCTGCTTTTACGCTTGTACTTTATTCAAACACTATGAATGTGCAAACAAGAGATTTAAAAAAATGAAACTTAACACCCTCTGTAAGCTTTACACTCATTTCATGTGCATTTAGAGATGTAAAATTGTTAAATATATCTATATTTATCTAAATCAACTGGAAAGGATTGCAATCCTAAATGTCACCAAAATATCAAATTCAACAACGAGGGCAGATTGTATTCAGCAACACTAGCATATAATTCCTGCTTTTTAACTTCTGCTTACGCGTTCTGTTAATATTTGAGATTAAAAGACATTGTCATTTAGATGCGGTTTTGATTGTTGCTTGTATTTCGTTTGTTTTATTTTGTGACATTGTGAGAATATGAACTGAAACAGAAGTAAGGCAATAATTACTGGAAAGAGTAGCCAAGGATGAGTGAGATGTGTGTGACAAATAACTTCATATTCTGTATTTATTATACCCTTTTAAAAATGAGCGATATAAGACAACCTACAAGACGCTGAAATGCAATGGCTTTTATAGCAAGTGTATGTTTTTAAATAAACTGTAATAAACTATTTTAAATGCACTATTTTTTTCCAGTGTAATTTCATTGCTCTGTGTGCATTTTATGTTAAATAATTTTAGTTGTAAATCTAAATATATGTTATTATAAATAACTGGAGCAAACATCTCGTCCAGAACAAAAAGCAGTAAAAGATTACATATGTTGACTGATTATATGACACTTTTTCTATCCACTTTATTTGCATTTGAATAAAATCATTCAAAAAGATATGTCAAGTATCTCTCCCATACAAAAATTCCCTAAGCATTATCGGTTTTAGTTGTCAATGAATAGACCAATGCATTATTAATTTCCTATTTGCATGAGATCAGAAAAATAACATAAATGAGGTAATCAAATGCAACTATAGAGATCTAGACAGTGGGTTCTGGTGTTTGAACTGGCACATCATGTCTTTCACTGCTCAACACATGCAGGCAGTCGTTGCACAGTGAGTTTGGTGGCCTCTTGACCTCTGTGTTTCAAGAGAACAGATCCCTAACAAGGGCAGTTGGTCTGGAGCCTGGTCCTCTCTGTGACTGCTGGTGTCCTGTTTGTGGTCTGGGTTTAGGGTAAGAGTGGGTTGTGTGCTGTCTGGGTCAGGGACTGTCAGTGTTTTGGAGCTGTCATGAGAAGGTGAACTGTTCACTTCGCAAGATGACTCGGTCCATGTAGCTGCACGCTCCTGTTTACGAAATTTAGCACGTCTGTTCTGGAACCAGACCTAAATCAAATCAAATCAAATAAACCCATTTAATGAATAAATACTTCAAAATGTACCTGACCTAATTAATTCCAATTGTCCGACAGATGCATTATTTTGCCAAAAGTATTGGGACACCCCCTTCTAATGAACAGGTTTGACTACTTTATTCATTTCCATGAGTACAATGTTTAATGTTTAAATACATGAATTATATATCTTTGTTGCAACAGTTTTGGAAGTGTCTAAAATGTGACCATATGTACAAGTCATTGGTGTTTGGTGATGTGTTTTTGTCTCAAGGTCTGCATTTAATGTCACACCAAATGTGTTCAGCTGGGATAAGGACTTGGTTTTCTGTAGACCAGTCAAATCAATCATTTCTTTTTGAACCTTGCCTTATACACAGAGGCATTGTCATGAATAGAAAAGGGTCCTGTCCAAACTGTTGCTATAAACCTAGAAGCACACAACTCCCTAGAATATCATTATATGCTTAAACATGTAACATTGTACTCATGGAAACCTGTTCATTAGAGAGGGGGGGAGGAGGGGGGGGGTCCCAATAATTTTGGCAATATATGAACAATATAACTTTTATATAACATAACTTTTTCAGGAAAGGTTCAGGATTTGTTACATTTTAGTGTTTTTGTTGAGGGCAATCAGCTAGAACACATTAATGGCAGATACACATTAGCCAATATTAGATATTTATGGAAACATTTTAAATAAGAATAGACAGAATAACCTGTATGACTATGAAGGGGATCTTGATGTATCTTAGAACCCAAAAAGAACATACGCAGTTGAAGAATGATCAGAGCAGAAGCTCAGATACCTGAACTCGAGCTTCAGTAAGATGGATCTCCTGCGCGAGCTCCTCTCGGGTGTAGATGTCTGGATAATGAGTCTGTGAGAACACGCGCTCGAGCGCTTTCAGCTGCGCGCTGGTGAAGATGGTGCGGACGCGCCTTTGTTTGCGTCTCTCCTGGACGCCTCGTTCGTAAGGCAGAAGATTAGGATGAACTGGAAGTTGAATTAAATTTGAATTAAACACAGATATATATGTTTTATATTGCAGCAACTGTTTACGCCCTTCAAAAGTTTGGGGACAGTAAGATTTTTTAAAAAAGGCTCTTATTTTAAAGATACAGTAAAAACAGCAATATTGTTACCATTTAAAATAACCGTTTTCTATTTTAATAGATTTTAAAATGTAATTCATGTGATAACAGAGCTGAATTTTCAACCGCCATTACGCCAGTCTTCAGTGCCTCATGATCTTTCAGAAATCAGTCGCCAATTTGGAATATTGTGCATTTATTACACTTTTCAAAATGAGCATAAGACAACCAACAAGAAGCTAAAATGCAATGGCTTTTGTAGCAAAAGCATGTTTTTAAACAATATAATAGGCTACATTGTTTTAAATGCACTTAAATTGCATTCGACCCACTTTCTTCTGTAATAACACCTTTTAAAATAATTATTAATATGCTATATAAGGAGCATTTTTAATAATTCATCATTTTATTATGCTGTTTTGGTGCTCAAGAAACATTTTTTTTCTTCGTGAAATCTTGATATAAGCTACTTTCTGCATGATACGTTGATGAATGGAAAGTTCAAAAGAACAGTATTTATTTGACATCTTAAAAATGGTTTAATCTTTAAAACAATTGTAAAATCTTAACAAGGATGCATTAAATTAATCCAAAGTGATTTTTGATCAATTACATTCACCCTTGCTGAACAAAAGTATACTATTAATATCTTTCAGAATAAATAAATAAAAAAGTGGTTGCAAAATGGTTTGCTTTAGTTTTACATTTTAGCCAATGCAAATAATAACATCCTTGATAAATGTGATATACATATACTAATAAAAATGGGATTAAAGCATAAACTAACCTGTTATGTAGTGTGAGGGTTGGTGAGAGCCAGGCGCAAGGAAATGGCAACTGGTTGTGTTTCCCAGATTGCACCTGTTATATTGAAATCTGAAGGGCTGACTGCAGGAGCTGAACTCCGTGGAGCGGCTAGAAGCTCGGCCAG